CTCCCCCCCCCCCCCCCCAAAAAATAGAGGCAATGAGGGTCGGAGCCACGGCAAGCAAGCGGAGGATTGGGGTGTTGTTTTCAAATCCCCCCAAGCCCCTAGAGGGGAAAGGTTTAAAAGGTTTTGCACGCGGGCAGGGGAAAGGGGCACAGTGTGGGAGTCAAAGTCAGAACAAATGGCATGGGGGCCCCCCCTCCCTAGGGGGGTTCACAGCTCCATGCCCGGGGGGGGGGATGCCAACCCGCAACGCAAAAAGGGCCCCGGCCCCCGACCGAAATTGGCAAACCCCGGCCGGCGGGAACGGGGGTCCCGGTTTCCTCCCCAGACGAATAAAAAAAGCCCCCCCCCCCCCCCCCCCCAGGACGCTTTGCCGCGCGAGGCAGCTCATCTCTGGGGAACTACGGCACCTCTTATCACTCTCAGTCCGAGTACATGTCCATCTCCTCGGGCGTCTTGCGGTGCACCTCCTTGATGGAGACCGGGTCAAACTCGTTGCCCTCTTCAAACTTGAACTGGCCGAACGAGGTCAGGCCACGCGTGGAGCCTTCGACCATCACATTGACCCAATTCTCGATGCCGTCCGGGGAGAAGGTGATCCAGTAGTGCGAGTCGGCGTGGACGGTGTAGAACATGATGTCGGGGTTTGCCTTCGTCACGTTCTTCATCTTCGAGTAGAAGTCGCCGTACGCGGCCTCGTGCTTGACGCCACCGTTCGGCGGGTCCGTCCACCAGCGCGCATGGAACGGGATGATGACGGCCTTGAGGCCAAAGTTTGCCGCGGTGAACGCCGCCCCCTCGATCCACGCCATGTTGCAGTTGTTGGCGCGGTGGAACATGTCGAGGTGCGACATCGTGGCCTTGCACGCGTCCGTGGCGCACTTCTCCTTGCTGTCGTACGGGTCGACGAACTCCATGTTCGCCTCGTTGCTCAGCCCGAAGTTGGAGCCGGGCATCTCAATGGGAGCGACGAGCATCTTGTCGACGACTACCATCGTATTGAACGGGCACTCCTCCGACTGCGTCGTCACTGGGAGCTTGCCGGTGAGATCGGTGGTCGTGTCGGTCATGAACTGTTCGATCATGTACGTGCGCGCCGCCTCGGCCTGGTAGAACTGCGACTCCCGCGGATACGTGCAAGGGTCGTCCTTGCACGTAGAGCCGCCATCGGCGGTGTAGTCGCCGCGTGTCTTCATACGGTGGCAGTCCGTCGCCTAACTAAGGTCAGTAAGGTAAGGTAAACTTCTCCGTACACAAGGTGGTGGGCAAGAGGTGTCGCCTCGTTGTCGCCGAGCGTGTAAAGAGTCGGCGTGCCGGTCGCAACCATGATGCGAAGCGGGCCGGCCATCAAGTCGTCGTCGCACACACCCGAGCCGGACTTGGTGTCGCCAACGTGGACCATCAGCTTGCACTCCTTGCTCATCTCGGAGACCATGTGCGACCACGTCGGGAATGGTGGCTCGGTGTAGGGGGAGCAGCCGGTCACGCACACGCCCGCTCCTCCGTCCGGGACGGGCGCACTCGAGAAGCTCAGAAAGACGCACGAGATCGCCAGCATCGTCTGTAAGCCAAGCGCGAGTGAGTGAGTGAGCGAGAGTGAGTGAGTGAGTGAGTGAGTGAGTGAGTGAGTGAGTGTGTGTGTGTGTGTGTGTGTGTGTGTGTGTGTGTGTGCACAGTGTGTTGTGTGTGCACACACTCTCACCCAGAGTGAGCAGGTAGTCTGACACCGCGGAGCGAAGGCTTGGCGCCACCGACGGAGATACCGCCGAGTTTCATTATCGGCACGATGCCGGACTTGGACAAGCCGGGAGCCCACTGCGCCACCGAAACGGCTTCGTTCGTGTGCGAGGAGCACGCAACCATCGAGGATGGCGTCCTTGTGCTTCCAACCGGAGCGTACAAGGGCTGCACGATTCTGCAAACCGTTACTCTGCCGACAACACTCGAGCAAATCGGTGCCTCTGCATTCAGCGGCTGCACCTCTCTTGCAGCGGTCAACCTGAAAGAAGCGTCTTCGTTGCAGTCGATCGGCTCGCACGCCTTCAGCAAGACTTTGCTCGAGCATGTCGCTCTCCCGCCGTCGCTCAAGACGCTCGGTGCTTACGCGTTTGATGAGGTGAGGACACTCGAGCGGGCAGAGCTCTCGGAGTCGTCGCTGCAGGTGATCGAGGCAGGGACCTTCTGGGGCTGCGGCTCTCTGCTTGGCGTCTCTCTGCCGCCGACACTTCAAAAGATTGACACCGCCTCATTCTATGATTGTTCCGCACTCGCTGAGTTGGAGCTGCCGGCCGGCGTGCATCACATCGGCGAGCATGCGTTCCGTGGGTGCTCCTCGCTGGGCGAGTTGGCGCTGCCCGCTGCTCTCGTCTTTCTCGGCTTCAACGCATTTCGAGGGTCCAGCGCGAAGTACGAAGTCCGCCGCGGCGTGAAGAGGGGCGAGACCGACGACGACTAACTTTCTTCGGCCCTTCGGGGGCAGCGGCACGTCGATCTTCGTCGGTCCTCCAGCGGGCTGCGCGCCGGCGAGCTGCGCCGCGCTCCTGCCTCCTGGGGCGTGGGGGGCCGCCCGGGCCGCCTCTTGAGGGTTTTCTGTGAACTGTGTGGGTGTGCGGTTGGTATGACCATAACAACCCCGGTGCCGGGGTGCGGCCGGTGCCAGTGGGGGTGGGTGGGGGTTAATGGGTGGGGTATGCACGGGGCTTTTAGGCGTCTAATACGCCAGAGGTCGCCCCTGCCATCTAGATGCAACTTGATACCTGTCTGGGATATGTGGCGAGCTGCCTTTGGCTCTGCGATTCAGCGCCAGCCGCCAGCCGCGCGCGGCCGGCAGCGCGCAGGCCCCACAGCGTGAAAAGCTCCGGCGTGATCCAGCCCCTTGGAGTGTGAAGGCTTCGTAGCCCTGCGGTCTACTAAAACTGAAGATCCGCAGGACTGGAGCGAAAAAAAGCAAGCGAGTGGGCGTGATCAGCGGCCAGGCGGTCCGCCCTGCTGCAGGTGCAGCACAAAAGAACCTCGCGGCGTCCCCGTCCGCAAAAGAGTTATTTTTGTCAGTGCGTGGCTCACCCTGCACCCTTCCTGAAAACTAGTGACGTCGCGCGCCGCCCCTTGCGGACTTCTCCACTTTGTGTGTGTGGAGACGTTTACCTTACCTTACCTTACCTTACCTACTCCACTACTGTCCACCCCACCCAGTCCTGTGATTTTCAGCACATGCAGGAAGGGCCTCACAGGAGCGCACGGAGATCCGCTAGCATCACGCACTCCCCGCCGCCGCCCGGCTCACCGAGCTCAGACACGATGCGGTCAGCACCAGAAAAGTCCTCCTCCTCTGTGTAGGTGCTCTTGGTGACGAGGCACGCCATCCCCGCCGATTTGGCGGCCTGGTTGCCGATGCCGGAGTCCTCGATAACCACACACCTGAAGAGGAAGGCGGGAGGAAGGGTTGGAGGGGCGGCGCTGCTGGCGGGAGAGCACGGGGTGGCCCAAAGGGGTCGGGACACACTCCGACTTGTCGAGCCCCATCTCCTGCGCGGCGAGGTTGTAGACATCCGGCTGCGGCTTCTTGCGCGGCACGACGTCGCCACAAAAAAAGGAGAAACGCGCATAGCGCTCCGGACCCATGAGTGTCTCGACGAGCGTGCGGACGGCGGCCTCGTTGCTGGTCGAGCAAACGGCGAGCGGTACCTGCGCAACACGTCCCTGGCGTGTCAGCGGCATGTCCCTCACACCTTGGTGGGCGGCGGTCACCTGCTTTGTATCGGCAACGGAGCTGTGCGAATTTCTTGAGGTGGGGTCCGTGAGCCAATGGATACATAGCCACGGCAGAGCTGCGAATGGGCCGAGATCGGCCGTGATGTAGCTGTGCGGGTGCCTGAAGAGGCTGTCAATGCAAGCTTTCTCTAGGCCGGTGGGAGTGGGACAAGGGGCCGGCCTTACGCGAGGCACCTCGGCGGCGATGGCCTCGTCGACGACGCGCAGGACGCCGGGTCGCAGTGGCACGACCCCTGAGCCGATCAGCTCCTGGGCGAGGAGAGGGGCGGAGAGCCACCTCGTCTGTGGGAGCGCGCGGGGGGATGTGCCTGGAAGGGGGCGCGCTCGCGCGGCGCCTGAAAGAGCGCCGTCTTGCGGGCATGCAGCTCGCGGACAAGCTCGAGCCGCCTCGGATCGTCGGGCAGACCCTTCGTCAGGCTCTCGGTTGTCGGAGACTCGTAGCCTGCCGGCCAGCCGCTCGTACGGTAGCCTACAGGGCGCGGCCAGAGAGGAAGGCTCGAGCAGCCTCCTCCGTGGCAGCCCGCCGGACGCACCCGCGGCGGCCGTTGAAGCCGTTCAAGTAGGCGGTCATGCGTTCCTTGCCGCCGCCAACCTCGCACATGCGGCCGTACTCCTCCACAGTCCACTCAAAGTCGAAGCCCCTCTCTTCAAACACCCTGGCGGGCGGGCGGGCAGGCGGCGGCGTCAGAGGTGGCCAGCCGTCAAGCGCGGCAACGGCAGCGGCGTGCGCGACGGCAGTGCTCCATTGAGCGACCTGATTGTGGACGTGGCTAAGCTGCGACTCATACGACCGATACTGCTGTCTCGGAAGCATCACCTGTTGAAGGAGACGCGGTGCCCATCCCGTTCGGTGTCAGCGAGCACGCCTGGCACCGGCAAGGAACGCGGTGACATCGTCACCCCCGCGCTACCTTGCCACCGTGTGCTGTGCACGGCGCGCGTAGCCTCGCGGGCGATCACTCTCTCCCCAATCGCAGCTCGCCGTCACAGTCGAAGAGAATCGCCAGCCCAGCGGGAGTTGCCATCATGCGCGGCGAAGTCAGCCGCAGGCCGTCGCGGCTGACGGCCTCTAGCAACGTGAAGGCGCGGGTGCACACGGACGCGCCGAGGATCGCGACAAGGCGGAAGCGGAGGATCATGAAAACGCCAGGCGGCAGGGTTCGGGCTGCAAGGGGATGCGGGGTTGTGTACGCGCACAACAATGGCCAGCTCGCGGCGAAGATTTAATCCGTGCGCCCGCCTCACTCAGCCTCCACCCTCCCCATGCTTCCTCCCCTGCGGCTGCTGCTCTCCAGTCAGTCTGATGTCTCTTTCAGTGTATGTAGCTCTTACGTACTTTCCCGGAGGGAGGAAGGACTGCTGACAACTGACGGGGTTTGCGATGAGAAGCGATCCGAACGTGGCATTCGGGTGATCAGATCACTACCGCTGAAACGCAAGAGCACTGCGACGCATCGCGCTCATGCTAACCTCGCGTCTTTTAGCTTACAACTGGGAGAAAAGGAGAGGGAGGCCTCTCTCTCTCTCTCTCTCTCTCTCTCTCTCTCTCTCTCTCTCTCTCTCTGTGTGTGTGTGTGTGTGTGTGTGTGTGTGTGTGTGTGTGTGTGTGTGTGTGCGTGCGTGCGTGCGTGCTGCGCGCGCGCGTGAGAGAGAGAGAGCTAGCTAGAGAGAGAGAGAGAGAGAGAGAGAGAGAGAGAGAGAGAAGATGATTGCGAGCGAGCGCGGGCGTGCTCGCAATCGCACACTCAGACAGAGCAGAGATGCTACGATTGCGAGGAGTGCTCCTCACTCCTCCCTTCGACTTCTAGGATTGCGAGCGAGGCTGCTAACAATCCTAGACGACGTCGGCCGTCCATTCCGTCTCATCCGCGATGGTGGTGCCCTTCTTCATATACACGGAGCGCGCGCTCTGCCACGCATGGCTGCGGCAGTGCGACGGCTTCGATTCTCTGGCACACTCCGTCAACGACGCCAACCTCGCCGAGGTGGGGCTTTACGAGGCGCTTCGCCATCACCCCTGGCGGGTTCGCGACGCGTCCGACGCGCAAGTCTTCTATGTCCCCGTGTTTGAGTTCACGTCACACACTCTGGGAGAGTGCAATGGCAGCTCTCACGAGGCACGGATGAGCGACCTCCACCGAGCGCTCCTCTCCTCTCCCCACTACCAGCGCTCTGGCGGGCTAGACCACATCTTTGCCAGCACGGCATGGTCAGCGCCTTGGCTGACCATGTCGGCTCGGATGGGCGACGCGGCTCGCGCGCTGACATGCGCCACCACCGGCCGATATAAGCGGTTTCCGACAGGCTCGTACAAGCGAGTCAGCGTGGTCGGCCGCTGCTCGCTAGAGATGCCGTACCAGGCGTCGCTGGCGGCCACGTTGCAATACAACAAGGACTGGACCAGACCGCCGTCGGCCAAAAATCTGCGCAAGCTCGACAGCGTGCTGCGTGCGCAGTCCAAGATGCTGCCGGCATCGCACGGGCCGACGGTGGAGGGCTCCTTCGTCGAGGCTTCCACCGTCGGAAGCCTCCTGGCGGGCGACGCCGATGGCGCCAACCTCCTCGCCAAGCAGGCGTTCCGGCGTATCCTCGGCCGCCGCCGCACGATGGTTCAGTTCTCGGGTGCGCTCGACGTCTGCTGCACCGGTCGCGCTATCCGGTGCGCGGTCGGCAAGCTCATGGAGGCATGGCATGACGTGTCGGACGTCGTGATGCGGCCGTCCCTGCCGACCAACCGATCCACCTGGGGCCGCTGCACCCGCGGCACTATGGAGCGTCTCGCGCTGCTGAAGAACGCATCGACACACGACCTAGTCGAGCTGGCAGGTTCGACGGGCAGCTTAACGCCGATGGGGCGAGGCGCGAGGCGGAGGCGCCGGCTGGACCGGCGGCGGTCGGCTCGGGGCGGCAAGGCGAACGCGGGACCTGAGGCGGAGGGCCAAAAGGGCGGGCCCAACATGTGGAGGTACGCGTCGGTCGACAACAGCAAGGTGGAGCAGGCGGCAGTGGAGATGGCGGAGAGCGTCTTCTGCCTAGCTCCCGCCGGGGACAACTGCGTCTCGGCACGCTTCTACTCGGCGATCGCCGCCGGTTGCATACCGGTCGCCATCTGCGACGGCCTCAGGGGCGCCTTTGCGAACACCGTGCCATACGACGACTTTGTCGTACGCGTCAAGGCACGCGACTTTGTCAAGAACCCCGCCACTGCACTCGCTGTCCTGCGAGAGATGCCAGGGGAGGAGCTTCTGCGCCGGCAGCGCGCCTTGCAGGCGCACCGCGCCGACGTGCTGTACGACGTGCCGAGAACGCGCGTGGGCTCGCACTTTTTGCGCGAAGTGGTCGAGCATTGCATGAGTGGGAGCAACAATGAGAGCCTGCGGTCGCACGCGCCTACGGTCGAGCACTGTGTGCGGAAGGCAGGAATAGAGCTGTAACAGGCGGCCCTGTCCGCCTGTGCTTCCGGCGGGGCGCGTTGAGCCGTGCAGGCTGCAGCTGCAGCACTAGCAGGACGTAGAGGAGCTAGGAGCGTTAGAGTGTCGAGCGTGGTGCGAGGCCGAGGCTCGCTCACTCCAACAGTCGCGGGGGGGTCTGTCCGCGGGCTGCCAGGCTCCGACTGTGGGTGTGGCGTATCTATCTGGGCGGTGGCCGGTGTCTCCGGGGAGCAGCAGCAGGGGGGCGGGCCTTCCCGCGCTTCCGCGACCGCGTTCCCGCGGCGCGGCACCCGCAGCACTTTACGGCGGCCTGATTCCCCTTTTTCCTATAGGTTTTGATCGTAGATACGAATCGTTCACAGCCTTGTTATAGAAGAAGATACGTCCTATGGCGCTGTTCACAAGACCAAGATAATCGACTGGGTCGGTGGGCGCGGCGGGCGCTGGGAGCCTATCATGAGGGCTAACGTCAAAAACGTGCGCGCTTGCCGCCTCAAAGCCGAGGAGGTCGCGACCTGGATGGGTGGAGCCCTTGCCATGCTCAGCATGCTGTTTCTCTGCACAGAGGACTAGGTCCAGCCCTGGGGGTGAGCCGGGTTGTGACATTATCGTTTGGCGATTCCGCGGCTTACTGGGTCCCTGAGCCGCTCCCCGTGTGCGATCTTGTGGCCCAGGCATGGTACTGATAGTAAACGGGTCAGAACCGGCCAAACACAGGCTACAGCCCCACACACGCGCCCGCCATAGCTCCTGGAGAGCATGCGCGAGTGACGCGCTACAAGCCGCGAGAGTGGCATCAGAGGCAGGAACGACGTGCTCTTGCTGCACCTCGCAGCTGCACCGAGTGTGCTCGCAGTGTATGCCACGGCCGCCGCCTGCGGCATTGCTCTCGTGCAGCTAGGCGACGCAGGTCCATCAGCAGGGCTCATCCAATGCAAGCGCACATTGTGCGTAGCCGCGGGCAGGTGGCAGTGCACAGCCGCACACCGGCTGTGGCGGCTCGAATGCCCCCGGCAGCAATGCTGGTCATTAACTTGCGTATTGGGGCCGCAGCAGACTGCTGCTGTGGCAACAGCAGCAGCCTGCTGCTGCCTGATTAAGTCAAGCCAGCGGTGCAGCGAGGCGTGCAGAATTCGCGCGGTTTTGTCCCTCCTGAGGCTGAGCGCATTCGAGCCCGTCGACCGGAGTTGGATGGTACCACGCGTCTCACTGAGACGCGGGGTACTGGCCATGGCCGGGCTACGGAGCGTGAGGTGGCGAGCGGAGCGAGCGACAAAACAACGAGAAAAACACGGCTCTGACGCGATGTCCCAAAACGTCAGATCTGGCTCACCCAGGGCTTCGGCCCCGGTGGGGGGTGCCCGTGCCGCCTAGCTCTGCGGCCGGGCCCTTCATTCACGTACGGATCATGTATAGTCCCCACACTCGCTGTCGTGGGATCGCTTGCTTGTCATGTGAGAGAGTGCGTTGTGTTCCCGAGCACTGCTGGGCTGGGTTACTTTTTAGGCATTGTGGGGTTGGCACTCCCATCGACCCTCATGACCTCCTGCGGTCTCTGAGATGGACACCAGTGGGTGTGGGGCCACAGCCAGGATACACTCGAAGGCTTGGTAAGCAGTAGAGGTCGATACTCGACGCGTCCCACATGGTCTGTGTCGCTGTCGGCACCCTGTCGACAGGACGTCGAGCGACACCGGTGGCAGTGCCACCCAGGAGTGGTCGGGCGGTCTCCCGTCATGAGAGAGCCACCATGTGATCCGTATGATGGTTCCTGACAACCGCCTCATTCACTTTCGTCACAGTTCCCGCTCTGAGAGGAGCTGCGGGTCAGTTCGACAGCTGGAGCTGTGTCGCCGGCGTGCGGCGGCCTGCCTCCGGAGGTGCCTCTGAAGGTGGATATTTCTTGGTCACCGTGAGAGAACGCGTTCGAATTTTCCCACTCCCGGAACTTCAACTCTGCACGCGCACCGGCCAGGGCTACAATAGTGCCAGTGAGGCAGAGGCGCGAGTCGGAAGGCCGCGACCGTGATTTGGTCCCTCCACTTGCCTACAATCGCTGTGAACCCAGCCACGTACCCGTCTCCAGCGCCGAAATTCACCTTCGGGTATGTTCGTAAGAGCTATATACACTGAGAGAGAGAGAGAACGTACACTGAAATTACACGGCTGTGCGGGACGTCGCGCGCGCCTGGTCTTTTCTTTTTTGCGTTGCTCTATTCTTTTTTGCCTCGCTCTATTCTTTTTTCCCGGCTCGCGCCTGCGGGCGAAGCTACCCAACGCGGCCAACGGATGAAGATCCAGCCTTCCGGAGCGCCCCTATAGCGCAGCCTGCCTGTCGCTGACTGAGGTGCTTCCGGGACGACCCGTGATGTTGCAGTGCAGCAGGCTCGGTGGAATGCGTGGACGCTCGACGCTGGCATATTCCATGTGCTCCCA